CGGATTTTCAGTGTTTTAGCAGCCATAATCCGAGAAAATTCCGACAAACTGCCATGGATTGAGAATGGTGAAGGCTTTGCCGTTCATTCATCTACCTAACCGAGTCGCGCCAAAGGCAAATGACTTGTCAGCAGCTGATTGGCTACATCAAACACACGTGAAAAAATATGACATTTTTTCACGTGTGTCGTAACGGCTTTTCTCAGGGCTGGAAATCTCTGCACAACAGCGTTGTTTATATGATAGATAATTTAATATGTCATTTTCGATTTTAACATCGGATCGAACAACCTTAGCAAGCTCATCAAATCTGAGAAAGGCAGCAAAAGCTAGCAAGCATATAACAACTGAACGAGTATTATACAAAGAGGCCATCGAGTCCTCCTTGTAGCCAACTAACTGTTCTAACTCAAAGACGGCGATAGGCTCCTTCTTGGATGTATGATGGGCCAGCGAACACTGCGCACCAGTAAGAATACCTTTCACCAGCGAATGTTAAGTAGGAGACGGCTCGCCACCTAACTAGTGAAACCAGCCAATGCTATGTCCTGCTGTCTTCGCCTCAGTCATTAAATGACGCAAACAAATAGCAAAGTGAAACAGAGATACAGGAATAGCTGTCAAGCCATGTTATCGATCTATTGTAAGAAGAGAAAAACTTGGATGAAGTACTGGGTGCTCTACTGGCCAACTCAACATCCGGAAGAGAACTTGCAAGGTAGTGCAAAACATCAGATCACTGGAGAACAGCAGCCCGAAGATCCGACTACATGGTATGCAAAATAAAAGCAGAAAGAACACACACACACGATTAAACGTCATAAACAAACAAAAATTATCCGAACGCTGGAATAGCAAGACCGAGATGTCCGCCCAAATTTATAGCCCCACTTATTATCCAGTGCACATGCCCAAACAAACGTAAGATACCGACACGAGCATATTTTCCTGCTAATTACCAAGTCAAACGCAGGAAAATGCTAATGGTGCTGTGTAAGGTGGTCTTCAAGATCTCTCCCAGAAAAGAAAGGCAGGTCTGAAACGAGTTCAAGTTTCTTCAAATTTTCATTACTTTATCTATGCTGAAAGACATTTCATGCATTACTACCACTAGGTCTTCTACCTACGAAGGACTGGCAAATGCACGTGGGCACGTTAGTTTCATGAATGTTAGATGAAGGATGTATATTGGCTTTTTTTAGCTGTCTCACTAAGGTACCTCCTTTTTTTTTTCAGAATCTCCATACACAGTGGACATGAAGTTGATTTATTGAGGCAAACATCATGGAACGAGTGAAAGCAACCTTACAAGAGGTTCCAATTCTCATCCTGGCTGGAAATGTTGCTCAGAGTTAAATCACATTCTTTTGTTTGATCTGTTTTGGTATCACAGTGATAACCTGGAGGTAAACAGCAGTCTTCATTTATTTGTTGGGGTACATTGTTGGCATTGTGACAAGAGTTGGAACACTTGTGTTGCATCTGTTGTTGGAGGAGAATAGACTTTGTCCTGGACTCTGAGAGACTTTTACAAACATGGAGGACAGTACTTGAGCACATGCATAACTGTTACTAATGTCGTGTATGGACGATGCAGCAGTAATTAGTCCAAGGCTTAATTCAATGTTTATACCATTAAGGTCGTGTGTACAAAGGGCGTGTGTTTCTGGTACAGCTTGAATATCCTTAAAAGCCTTAATAACTATCAAACATATTGTTTTGCCTCTGACAATTTTTCCTTCAGTTTTTCCTCCTTCTTTTCGTTTCAATGGCTGTCAAATCATCAATTGTTAGAAGTTAGCCATTTGCGATATATAGCTGTTGTTATAAAATCTTCAAGATATTTGTAATGAGAGTCTGACATCTTGTGTGGAACGTTGTTAAGAGTTCTTCTGGAACATGTATGCCCTACGATAAGTTCTCTTTTAATGCCTTCTTGGCTTTTCTGATTACTCCTGCGATAAATAGCATGGTGTTCTTGAAGAGGATTGCATGTTTTGCTGAGTTAATAGCCAAAATTGTAAATGAATTAAACAACCTTTTTTTGTTTAGGCGTACTCGGTCTGTTAAATGCCGATAACTAGTGGCAGAACCCATAAAAGTGTCGAATATCTTTGTTGCACCTGCTGATATGCAAAACTAGCTGAAACTGTCCGGATCATACACTGTTTCTTCCTTGTTAAGTACTGTCGTCGTAAATTTTTTCTAGACCAATTCTATTTCCTTTTTCATGTCATCCTGCATCAGGTGAAAACAAGTGAAATGTCAATTTCATGTAGGTACAAGTTTCTATACCTATGGGGTTGATGATGTCAAAGCCCCGTGGCAGTTCTCTAGAACAAATTTCATTACTCCTTCTGCAACACTATGATATCATAACAAGGTTAGCAAAACTCTCATTGTTTAAATTAAGTTCGACTTTCATCCTCACTGATACTATAAGTGTTATTAGTTGTACAAGTTCTTTTTTTTCTACTTAAAGGCCTGTAATAAGTCTCATCAGACCATCAGACTGTCACAGAATGCATGTATTTTTAAAACGTTGAAAAATAAAGTTGCCAGGGGTATATTAGTTTTTGATGCACAAGTGAAGGATCGATGAATATGGTTTTTATTTGGAATTTACTGACTCGTTTAACCAGTTGGAATTACACGAGCTTGAAGTACTCTTAAAATGCCGAATGTAAAGGGTTCTGGATGTAAGTTGCTGAGACAGAACTACTGAGAGTTTGATTTAAGATTGCCACCTTTCTTGGGTGGCAATTAAATTATGTCACAGGTGGCAGTTAAGATATGTCAGTTAAGTGTTCTTAAAATTCACGGCTTTCAGTTACTTGTAACCCTAGTACTTAAGACCTCAGGAAGAGAGTTAAGGCGGTCTGAAACATGATAATTTGAGTTCGATGATTGATTTAGGAATCTAACACTACCGAATGTCCATAGAAGTATGATTTTTGAAGTGCCAAGAAATAATGAAAATTGGAAAATAATTTGGAGATTGCCTTGATTGTCAGGGGTAGGGCATCAACTGGGTTTGGCCATCGTCAATGAATTTCTGAGACACGAAAAACTTTTTTCGGCTCGTCTAATCACGCACCAACACCTGTTTACTTTAAGGGGAAGTAATCTAATTATTAGGTCATAGAGAAAGAAATAACAAGTTTCATTTTTTTTACGTTTTTAATAACAACAACACAGAATAAATTTGAAAAGACGACTTTCCTTGGATTGTTTTCTTTTTTAGGACTGTTCTTATTCTGTTCTGAAAGTCACCTGCGAACAAAAGCAGAGTACGAGATATCAATTCTGAATCAAATCCACAAACTTATGGTAATAATCGTTCTGGACAGGTCCCATGAAGTTGGCACCGTTCGCGCCTTCGTTTCAAGTACCTCATTGTGTTCTCATCGATCCCGAATCGCTCCTGTACCTCGTTGAAATGATGCTGGCTACCAGGTGTTTCTTTTTTTTTAAATCACTTGTTTAAAGCGAATGCTATCAAATTACTACTTAGAACCTAAGACATCGATCTCAGCGATATTTCAAAGCAATTTTTACGTGAAATTCGGTAGGTATCGCGACCTTTCTCAAACATGGTTGTTTCAGGAGGTAATTCCTCGAACATAAATCAACTTAACGTATCTATTTTATTTTTTTTATTTTACATTTCTATTCCATTTTTAAATTTCACAGTACTTGTCCGATGGGTCGATGGCCAAGGTCTCTGACCAGTGTGGCCATTCCCTATGGGGTCACTGCGCCGCAACAACTCAACACGAAATTGTTTGAAGTCCCACCTGCTTTTTTCTTTATTCTTTTGTTTTTTGTTTGTTGGGGTTTTTTTTTGTGTGTGATACGCGAAGAAATAATTGTAACCTATTCCAAGTATTAGATCTTTTCTATCTTTCTTCTGTGTATCACTGGCTTGACTAGCGATGTCGCTCGTGGTTGAAATCACAATCCAATCACAATGTTCAAAAAAGAGGCGCGAAACGCTCTGTTCACGAATTTGCAGGTGGCACGTAGGGCCAGTAAGTTGAGAGCGATCACTGGCGATTTTGTAGAAGAATTAAGTGTGAACATTGTAACATAAAAACTGTCACTTAAAATTTTGAAACAAAAAAGTCAGCGTTAGCAATCGTTTCTTTCATCTATACTTTTGCTCCATGTTGGACCAAACTATTCCCTTCCTTTCCTATGGCTTCCCCTTTGACAAAGTTACGCCTTGGTAAAAGTGGTGACCTCAAATTCAACGTGCACATGTTTTTTTATTCCCTCTGAATTAAACTCCCTCTTCGATATCTTTAACCTGTCCAGCTCCAGGAATAATTAGAATCCAATTTCTTTGCACTCTATCAAGTTAATCACGAAATATCACGAAAGAGAAACTGTCGTGATCTTGAACAAAATTCTTACAGTTAGTAATAATAGGGAAAAAAACAGGCCAACAGGCGTTCGAATCTAGCAAAATGATGTGAGGAGGTTTGGCCGACTTTCACACATTGGGTGCTAGTACTCGTGTGGTGTTTTAGTAGTGATCGCCATCTTTTTTCTAACAATGCCTTCATTCGTACTAAAATGTCCTATTCATCGAACCATTTCCGGTGTTTTGATCAGGCATCCATGAAAAGGAGGCTTGTTGCGTTGTCATGCGGCGTAGGCAGAACCGCAAGGCAAGGTTCAATCACAAAATTAAGCATGTCGTCTACACAATACTATTTCGATTTCATCGACCTTACCGGTTTCCCACAGAAATTTTTATGTGAGACTTGGTACGTATAGCGGACTCTTCAAGTCATGGTTGTCTCATGGTTATTCCAAATTTATATCTATTCACGTTGCAGTACTTGTCCAATGGTCGATGCTAAAAAATATGTAACTCATGTGGCCATTCCGTTTGCGGTCACTGCGCCGAACGAATGGAGGCAAACGGGGCACGTAACTGCCATATGTGCAGGCAGCCAAGAATGAGTTTCTGTCGAAACTTATTTGCGGCTAAAATGATGGAAGGCATAACAGCCAAGTGCCTGGGCTGTGAGAGGGATGTGCCCCTCGAGGATATCAGGCAGCATGTCCACGACTTCCAGGAAATTGAGCAGCATTGTGGCTTGTGCCCAGCAAAGTTTAAGCGGGGAGATGTGTTGCAACAAAAGTCAGTCTGCTCAGAAGAGGAGATATCGTGTGCCCGTGGGCAACAACTGATCCGCAAAGAGAAACCTATAAATTTGAAAGCGTGTCCTGCCCCCTGGGGTGTACTACAACTATTAAAAGGTCAGATGGTAATGCTCAATGTAGTAAATGTTTAAAACGGGTTAAAGCTTTTTTGTAAAGCTTTACTAGTTGAACAAGGTAACAAAAAAGTGGTCGAGCGATCAAACTTGAGCTTAGAAATTCTGAGCGCTACAGGAGATACCAAGGTTCTAATGCGCTTCAGTGATGGTTCGGACAAATTATTTCGACAGATGGGAAGTATTCGCACTTTGCAAACTTTTGCGAGAATTTGTTGATCTACCATTAGGATACTGCTGTCGAGTCCATTTTCAAGTGTGACACTAGTTTTGCAGTCGGAACTAGAATGTAATTTTGAACTGAGCCAGATAAATTTGGACTAAGGCAATAGTTTTGAGACATTTGCACAAACTGATTTGAGAAATTCGCACTTAAGTCTTGACGGATGACGTTTTTAATATCATTGGAAATTTCATTCTTTATCATAATTTTTTTGGCATGTTGAAAGTCTTCACGAGCAGGTGATTCTGGTACCTGGTCTCGTCATTTCCTTTACGTTTACATACATTTATCAGTAGTGGGCCTCGCTCGTGCAAAATGTTTCTTCTGAAAGCTTGCGCTTTTTCATTGTCGTAGATGTTCTGCAGAACATACTTTAGAACTTTTGCCAAGTGCGACGTATGCCTTACTGAATTTCATTTAAAACTCGACGCGCGCGTTTCAGGCATCCAGTCCGTTGGTTTGAACGCTAAAAAAATTAGGGTTTTGGAGGGGCTGAAAGAGGAACACGTTTCAAACCTTTTCTTCCATTTGAGACTACAGAAGGCGATCATGTAACAATTAACTTTTTTCTACCGGTGGTGGTTTTGGGAGTCAATTAGACGCCACGTCAATGAGTTACATAAAACAATCATTATAGCGGCAAGTTTAAAACTTCGCCTTTATCGTGATCGTTAACTGTGGCTTACTTACTTGCTCCTGTGTTTCAAACTCGACAAAGCGACGAATATCATAGTAATTATTTTCATTCTATAATTTGCAACTCTGCATGATATGCTTGGCACGAAGATCGATCTGCCACAACTTCTCTAAGGGCCCGTTTACATGGAGGTGGGGGACCCTAGGTGGGTGAGGTAACCCGCCTAGCCGTGGTCGAAAAATAAAACGCGTTTACATACAATCTTACAACCCCGGGGTGCTGGGATGAGTTTTCTTAAGGTTGTTGTTGCGCTTGCAATTAGAGACTCTGAGCATAGGCGTCCCAAGCTCACGTCTCGAGAAAGACGAAAGATTAATTCTCAGACACATATGTATTTATTCATAAGGGAAGACGCGTTGTGTTACGCGGTGTTAGGTTACGCGAGGAACTGTTGACTAAATACGTTATCAGGAATAGTTTGAAATATGGTCGATTTACAACGCTAATTATTCCGAAATGTGAACGTTGCAGTTTCTGGTGATTTCTGCCTTGAGACGGCTAGGAATTTACAAAGTTTTAATACACACGTGTTTCGCTTTAGAGCTTTCTGCCATGAAAGGGACTCCGGAGGAGGTGGGGGACCCCAGGTAGGTGAGGTAACCCGCCTGTCCATATAGTTTCCTATTTTATCTTGATCACGTTTACATGATAGGTGGGGTGACCCGCCTAGGCGGGCTCCTCGGTCTGCCAGGTAGGGCAATCTCGTCAGCCGGGGTGACAATTTGCCATGTAAACGTTTCAAGGTGAGGTAACCCGCCTAGCCGGGGTCGCTTTCATGACAAAGAGCTCTAAGGCGAAACACGTATGTTCTAAAACTTTGCATATTTCCCAGCCGTCTCATGATAGAAAACACCAGAAACCGCAACGGATACACAAGGAATGTAAAATGTTCACATTAGGGGGTTGGCTGACTCTAACTGAAATTCTCTTCTTTCAAACGTAGATATTTGATTCCCGCCCACATGCTTACATGTGGAAAAGTAATGGATGTATGCTAGGTAGCTGGCTGTCTCACACATCTTCGCCGGGAAGAAATCGCAGTGCATGACAGCTGCTCCACTTCTCGCCATCTTGGCTTAATGGAGCAGGAAAGGTCAAAGACTTTCTAACCCAAACCGTCAAACCTGGGGGCAACAATGGAGTTTTATTTATTTTACGAGGCTTTGATTTGTTTTCTGGATGTAACCGTATTGAATTTATTTCCTTCGCAGAATCGTCTCCTCGTCGTACCTGTTAGAGGGGAAGAAAAATCAGTCTTCACTCCGAGGATTCCGCCGGACATTCACGGCTCATTGGGGGTCACCAATTTTCACAAAAGTCAGCAGGAAGTGGAAATTGCTATTGGACACACACCAGAAGAACCTTCAGGTCCACTACATCCAAGAGGTGGATCCCATTTCATTGCTGGCAAGGTAACGTTTTGAATTAAAATTTTACGATAGGGGAAATATGTGGATTTGGATAAAGATCGAAAGTGAAAAACATGTCTAAGTTTTTCCTTCCAAAATTCACAGAGTGCCAAATGAAACGGAATAATATCCTGAGTAAACCGTTTAACCATCCTCGCGTGGGCACTATAATGAAATGTATTCCTGACTTTTCAGATCGCTGAAAAATAAGTTTTTCGCTCAACACAAGGTAGAATGAAACTTGAAAATCAGGTTAAAGCGCCTAAGTCATGGAATGTCTTGAAAACCGTGTGATAAAATCTCTAACAACTAAGGTTTCGAATGTTTCAGTGAACCGGGATATCAATCGCTTAAAAACTAAGCTTTGAAATAAGAAAAACCGAAAAAAAGACAAAAAGAAAAAAACCCAAACTAAAAGAGATCATAAAAAAAGCTGATCTCATGGCTCATAAAACCTTTTAGAAGAAACTTGGTTATGTTGTATCTTGGAAACCAGATAATCGCAATACTGTAAAAAAAATCCTAGGTCACCGGATACCTCATGACGCATAACGGCACAGTTGTTAAATGTCCCAAAAATGAATGAATTAAAATAAAGATTGCTTGCTTTCTTCAACAGCTTAGCTGTCTTTACTGATGAACAGACAATCGAGGCCCCTAATGAGATCGCTCCCTGGAGGATTTATCTCAAAGAAGGCAAGCACTTCGATGTTTCTTTGACCGGAAGAAAATCGGTGGAGGCCATCATGATTAAAATGGAAGTCGTGAACCCACATGTCTGTGGCAGAAATAGGCGTTACGCGTTACGTTTTGCAGTTTCCTTTATCATGCTTGTAAATAAAAGAAATCAATAATGTTGCTGTTTAGTCACGGGGGCTAATCTTTTGTCCATTTATTTTTTTCACCAGTAACTAATCAATAAATTTTGATGAACATGTTATTTTTGCCTTTGAGTAATTAATCAGTTAGAATTATTTTAGCCTTTTTCAGGATCTAACTCACTGGCGGGCAAGCGATGAACGACTGTTGTGTTTGTTTAAGGGAAACGGCTGCATGAACCCGCCATTTTCGTTCTTCTGCTCATTTCCATGAATCGAGAGCCTAGCAGAGGTTAGGGTTATTTGGCTCCCTCTCACTTTGACCAAAGAACTTTTTGTGTTTAACCGCCACCCATGAACTGTTGCAATCTTAAATCCAACCGGACAATCTTTCAGTTGTTCTGTCCCCGCAACTTACATCCAGAACCCTTTACATTCGGCATTTTAAGAGTAATTCAAATTCGTGCATCTGAGGGACTTTTTGTAGTCGTGCATTCTACTAGATGCTTCTCAAATCATGCATGTTACGAACAATCTACGGTCGTGCACTCCAGAGCACTAAACTGTCGCATTTTGCGAACGCTTAATGCTCCCATTTTTGAAAACACTTCACGGCCGCATTTTAGGAAAACATGACTGGTGCACTTTTATTAAGAACACTTACTGGCAAATTTTAGTAAAACTTTACAGTCACAATTTACGATCTGTGGAAAATCGCATTAACTGGCGTATTGTACGAACACTCAACTAGCAAATTTTACGAACACGTAACAGTTGGAATTTAAGAACATTTAACAGTCGCATTTTACGAACATTTAACGGTCGCTTTTTATGGACTATCAACAGTTGCATTTAAATCGCTATTTACGTACATTTAAAGATCACTTTTTATGAATATTTAACAGACTCATTTACCATTCACATTTTACGAACGTTTGACAGCCGCGTTTTACGAATATTAAACGGTCGTATTTTACGAACATTTAACGGGCGCTTTTTACGAACATTTATCGGTCACATTTTACGAACATTTAACGGGCGTATTTTACGAACATTGAACAGTCGCATTTTACGAACATTTAACGAGCGTATTTTACGAACATTTTACGGGCGTATTTTACGAACATTTAACGGGCGTATTTTACGAACTTTAACAGTCGCAATTTACGAACATTTAAAGAGCGTATTTTACGAACATTTTACGGGCGTATTTTACGAACACTTAAAAGTCGCGTTTTACGAACATTTAACGGTCGCGTTTTAGGACAACTTTTAAGTCGCACATTTTCAAAAAATTTATTACATAACGCCATTCATTTGACCTTAATTACATAAGGGTTGTTTACTGGCACTGTTTTAAATAGGCCGTTTTATCATAAAATTAAATGGCTCTGTTACATAGCGCCTTCGGCCCTGAAACTGACCTTGATCCGATTGTTGTCCATGTATATTGAGAAAATTTGCATCAACATTGAAACGGGCTTTCAGTTCATGGAAGATTTAATGCTTTTCCTCTATATTTAATTTCAAATTTCTTTTTTCATTTTTTTCACTTTCCTTATAGACGCTCACCCTAAAATGCCGCTCTTTATACAAAGGCTTTTACCCCTTGCTCTCATTTCCATTCCCAATCTTTTACTCCGTCAATTTAATCCAAATAAGATCCCACACAACCATAGCTCAACCACACCTTTATTTTGAAATAATTTTCACTCCATCGGTATTTTCATGCGATTCTTAGTTTAGCGATACTGGTGTCATGATACAATTTTAGCTAAATAGAATATAACCCTGAAAATACCAGTTTGTATGAAGCAGCTTGAATAATTAACACAGATCGGAACTTAGCAACTTGAAAGTTTCTCTAAACGGAATAGACCATCGCGAGGTAAACTGAACACCAAGGATCGATAGATATTACCTTTAGGAACTGACACTGAGGACTTTTCAAAATTGCCTCCACGTGTAATAGAGTTTTATGTCAATGCTGAATGAGGCGGATGTTTTACCTTGCGATCATATGTACAACGCTTACAGTCCATCCCCTCGGTATTATCTTATTGAGGAGAGCAAAACTGAACTACAAGGCCTCGCCATGGAAGCGAAATTTAAGTAAGGCAATTAATTAGATCTTGATAACTCTGATTGGGTTGTTGCGCGTACAACGCACTTTTGCTAATAAAAACAACGACCAAACTTCGTAATGATCAGCGGCTCTATTAGTTTAATCAAGAGAACGTAGTTTTATGGTTTTTATTTTGTCTTCCCATAGTTTTCTAAATATCTTCAGTCCTGTTAAGAGATGATATCTCGCTCTTTAACAGTTACTACGCCAAACCTTCATACTTTGTAATAAGAACCGGATCACATTTGCATCCTGGCCCCCATTAAAAAGGGTAGCCTTCAATTTAGACAGGAACATCGTCAACGTTCAAAATTCAAACGGTCTATAAGACATAGTCAAACGAGATATCCTCCCTTACAAAAAAAATCTTAACTATTAACTACTCTTTAAGTGACTGCCGGCTTTATCGGATTCTTATTTGAAGTTAAGCCGTATCTGTCACCTCGATCTGGATGTCAGCAGCCAGGAATTCAGCGGCTTCAGCCTCTACGCATCCGTTGTATCCTTCTCGATGGTACGCAGCGAACATGCGGGGAGTGAAAAACTGATTGGCCGTGATGTGTTGTGGGAAGACACCGCATAGGTAATTCGACAACTTTTGGCACTTGAAGCTATGACAGCTCTCACAGCAACAAAAGGTTAAATCGTCGACTTCATCGGCATCTTGCTGAGGACTCTCTCCCCATTTAGCCGCTTCGAGATCTACGTCTATGTCACGTAGAGCGTCCTTCCATGGCACTGGTTCTTCTTTCCGAACACCTTTAACAGGATGTCTTGGGGAAATGAGGAGAATTTCACCCTCGCCAACTTTGGTTCCCTTTGAGTATTCGTCTTCTTTTTCATAGTAAGTAACTTTAAACCTGTCGATATCAAAATAAAATATTTTTGATTATGTTAAGTTAAGATGTTAAGTTAAGATCTTAAGTAATGTCGATAATGTTTGTTTCTTTGTTGTGATATTTGTTACATTACATTGCGGTGAACCTTTGGTAATTCATTTTGACTTTTCAAGAATTAACTGACTCTCGGAATTCGCAGGGCTTTAACACTGTAACTTAGTATTATCAACTGAGTTGATAACGTAAATTGGTCACCGGAAAGAGTTTCTAAGTGGACTTTTCGAGCGTTAGCCCTTTGTCAGAGCGAATTACGAAGAGCTAACGCTCGAAACATCAGCATTTGAAACTCTTTACGGTGGCCAATTGACGTCATCAACTCAGTTTATAATACTTTATTACCCTGTTATACTCATCCACCAACGCAGCATCACAGTTTCTTCAGAAACTTACTCCCCTTCACACTGAAGTCTTTGACGCATAACTAAGAACCCAGAAATATCAGCCCACAAAAACAATGCAGCTAGAATGGAATTATTTTTTTGTAACTTTCAAACTTTTGAGCAAAAAACGAAGCCACCGTTTTCCATCATGAATTAGAAAGCGCTCACTTTCGAACAGCGGCGGTAATTCATCATCATTGTTGGCTCAAATAGATTTAATTTGTCTCCAAAAGAAAGATAAGCTGTGCTGACGAGTGCCTTTTTTTTGTTTTTCTTCACCTGTAGCTCCTTGGCTGGTGACCCTTTGGTGTATAAATAAAATTCTCCTTTAGATCTTCAATAATGTCACGGCCATCCATGCCATTAAAGGAACAGTGCAGCTTTTTACGAGCCAACTCCAAGGCGTCTAGTAAGCTTTCTCCCCATTCTATGTCATTAGTCTTGTGGCCACCATCCACAACAACAATCTTGGGTAAGCGTTTCTTTAGGAGAGGAAGAATGGCAAGATTTTCGATGTGGCCGCCATCACTTAAGCGTAAGATAGGAGGGGGCATGGGGCCTTCGTTGGCAACAACCAACAATTCACGAATAAAGCGGACGAACGGGATATTGGTGATGAACCATCTGCCGAAGAAAGAGAAACAACGCTTTGGTACAATTATTATAATTTGTTTTGTCACTTGCGAGGAACAAAGTAAAAATGTGAATCCTTACAGAGAATCGAACCTCACCCCTTTCCAAAGTGTTGAGGTTCGATAATTCGTGGAAGACTCGTGCCCTGACTTTTTACCACTGAGTTAAAGAGAACTCAAAGATAAGCCAAGCCATTGTAAGGTCCCTATATGATAAGCACCGTATATATACCTTGGTAACTCATTCGACCATAAATGTTTGGAAATTTTACTCTTACCTTGCTACCAGTTCGAGTTTGTTTGGGTTTTGACGTCCAGTCTTCATCACAGCAAAAAATACGAACACTAGAAGCACGATGAAGAAAATCAAAACGCCAATGGCGACCCACGTCTCGCTACCCCCCGCAAAGTATACAAGTGGAAAGGTTACCAGGGGGAGACCTCGCAGAACCTCGACAAGAATGGGTAGCATCTGCAAATGAAACAAGAAAAAATTCTCTCTTAAATAAAGCAAATTATGACCACTACATCGAAGGGGCCATCGGAATTTATTTCCAAGAGGAGAGCACCACTTTGTAAAATAGTATCACCTTCGTCAGAGTGCTTACGATCCGAAAAAAGGATGCTCACATCCTAGAATTATACAAAACAAACTCGTAAAATCCGGGGCTTCTCCTCATTAGAGTTTCTATCAGATTCCATCAAGCGCGCAGAAACACGTCTACAAGAACCAAATTTGTGGAAGTCAAGGCCAGACAAGATCTTATATATTGGAATAGCTGTATTGAAGGCTATGCGGGTTTTTATATTTTGGGGTATTTAACTGCTGAATTTATTTACCAACCACAAATGCTTACCCTCCAACAACAGTTTTCTTTCATTGCACCTTCCCAGTCCGAAATCATGGATGCACCCATACCGAGACCCAACACGATTTGCAATTGCTTAATGCTCTCTGTTGACTTTTGATAGGCGCCCATGTGTCGAGCAACTGCAGCAGCGGATGTTGCCATGGCGGTCGACAGCTTAATGTCTTGAGGTTCAAGTTTTCCTTCGAACTGATCTTGTCCTGGTCGTCTATCCAAGCGTTCTATCTCTGTTGGCGACATCACTAGAAGTTCGTATTTCAACTCTTCCTCTCTCTCACCGATGAGCCATTCATTAACAACAATGTTCGACAAGTACTGCGGTTTGATTCCTTCCAGGTCACCAAGGGTCAAAGGTCCTTGCTCATTATCAGCAAGTTGCTCGTGCTTACTCGGCCTGGTGAAAAAGGTTCTTAAAACAAGGTCATCCATACCAATTCCGCCGCATCCTGATAAACCCACACTGGCGTTTGTGTAGAAAGCTTTCTGCAGCTTCCACCTAAGAGGCAAAATTCAATTGATTAGATGTGAGTAGCTGATCTCACCTATGAGAACCATTCAATTGTAGATGATTTGTGGTTCAATTTTACCAGTATTGTAAGAATCTTTTTCAGTGAGATCCTAATGACTAGCCAGACCGCCTTATCGCGCTACCCCACCCCCCCTCCCTTACCTCCTTGCCGGGGTAACCTTTGGCGAGACTTGGTTGACCTGCTAAGAACGTTTGAGTTTTCTAAAGTTTTTCTTGCAAAAGGGAGCCCAAAAAGTATCCTGGTTATGCACTTTTTCTCAAATAACTACATTTATTTTCCTTTTCTAATGTATCACTGTCTCTATACCATAACTTTTAACCGTCCTTTGAACTTACTTTAAGCTTTTTTAACCTCTATAGTCAACGTTTTTCGTGTTTTGATTGATGGAAAGGATGACCAAGGTTAGTCTTCACGCAAAGTGTTAGCTAGTGAAAACTGACAACCTGAGTTCGAGGAAAGTGGCCCATTATTAGCACTGTTTGCAGTGATTCAACCTAAGGTTCGTTTAAAGAGGCCCTTGGCTCATACTTTGGAGGTCGTAACTTTGTTTGCAACCCAATGATGCCGCTTCTAGGTCCTGATGTGTGTTGATTTCAAAGCCGCGTTTTGATTTACAGCTGTTTCGAGAAAGATCGGGAAAAAAAGGACAAAGGTGCACGTGACAATCTGGAAAGGTAATCTGGGTATCCAAGTGAAATAAATAAATAAGTTCATCAAAACCCGCTATGCCTTGTCCTTACAGTGACGTTTTCTCAGATTTCCCTGAAAGCTTAAGCTGAAGGAATCGTGACCTGAAAAATACCCACATTGCCTTTCAAGGTTGTCACGTGCACTTAAACGCTGTTTTTCGACAACCTTTCTCTGTTAAGCTCTAAACGACGTCCTAAAAGTTTCGGCTTGAGTTAATTTCACGCCTACCTGTTGAAGACATGAACGAGTCGCTGCTGAATAGCTCCTAAGGCTGGGACAAAATACAGAGCGATGCCAGAAGTAAAGAGGAGTGAATAGAAACGATGATCAGAGTACTCCACACCAAATACAGTGGCTTCAAAAACCTTCCAATACACGAAGTAAGCATAGAGATAAATTACTAGAACTAGGGACGATCTGCCTCTAAGAACCGGGAAGAAAAACCATACAAAAATAGAAAATACAAAGATTATGAGTTGCATCCAAGCAGGAGTCAAGTTAAAGAAGTAATAAATAAAGAACGGAATAAACGTGAAGGCAAATAGTAGACCGCTAATGGCAGAGACGATGAAAAGCTTTGATGACAAAGCAGTTTTTGATCTTTTTGCGGCCAAATAGAGAGCAATGAAAAGGATTGCCAGAACAGAAAACAGAACCACCCTTGTATAGGCCTTAGATCCAGGCTGTATAGGACACCGAGGCCTTCGTTCGCCAGCTGTGGCATTTCCTCCTGCAATTGGCCCTTGTCTCCTCGGGCTTGCTCTGCGATCTTCGCAATCTTCCTCTTCTTCGTCCTCGGCTCGCAGCAGATCTCCAAATATGAAATCGATGACGTAAGCAAGGGGGCAAACGTACGATCCCCACACGATTGTGGGCATTATAACTGAAACAAAAAGCATTAAAAAAAGCAGCACTATGGTGTCAAACATTCCGCTCAGTGTTTTCTGCCAGTTGCACATTAATCCAGCCCTCTCTCTCATGTGATCAAAGAACTCTGTGTGCCATTTTGGATCGTCTTTCTTTCCATGTCTGTATTTCCAGTCCAGGTAGGCCGTGCCTGTGTAACCTCCCCCCGACACGCAGCTTAGGTAGTCGATCTTGGCGTTGCGCTGTAAAAGCCTGCGCAGAACACCAGAGCATAGGGCCGCTGAACGGATACCACCTCCAGAGAAGGCAACTCCTGTTTCTGCCATCTTGACTTTAATCTCTGGATTTTTAAAAAAAGATGACATATTCATGAGTTACATTCACTGTGGCTTGTTTGTGGATCGGTCTGTCCGAAAACGATGTCTCGTTTTGAAAAGGGTTTTCCCAAAGGGTTTTCCTAAAGGATTTTTCCCAAAGGTATTCCTTCATTTTATATAATTGATTAAAAATAAAAACTCACCATAGTAATTTGCGGGAATATAGAGTAAATAGAGGAATTAAGAGGCGATCTCTGTAAGAGCGGTCCAGGGTATTTCGCATCGGAAAAAAGTTTTCCCTCAAACTTGGCCCAATAAACTATCTTTGGTAACAAGTATATAACACCACATTAGTTTCTGGAAATACGTTAAAATAAAATTTTTAGAGCTCAAAAGTCAAAGCTGCAAAAGGCCCTTTTTTGACCTCTTGCGATATCGAAAATTTCAAAAGTTGAATAGCCCGGTCCTCGTATCACACCGCATGCAGCAAAAAATATTTTGTATTCTTAAAGTGTGTGATATATAAGGTGTATAAAATGCATTTCAATTTTGATATTCGTTTATTCAGAGGCTCGTCATAATTTATTTAAATCCGATGAGACACTGGCAGAAACCAAACCCAGAGAAAGTAACAAAGGATATGCGAACTGCTTGCACAATAGATGGAGAGAGAATGTTCGATAGAACAGAGTGGTTATCCAACATACAGATTCAGGATTTCTTCTCGAGATTGTGCCATAAACAGTGATCTAAAATACAACAAGAATCGGGCGATGCCACCGACGCAGACGACCACTTGATAGAGGCATCCCCGTCTGATGTAGACGAAGGGTGTTTGAGAGAGGCGAGGAACACAGTAATGCATGAGATAGGATTGAGACATCCAATCATGTTTGATATATATGATGTGTGCTCGTTGGCAAGAGAAGCAAGGTTGCCTAGTCTCAAAGTCAAGATGCTGAGAGACATGTGCAAACATTTTGAGCTCGCATTCAAAATGCAAGATACAAATGCAGCACCTCTTGCAATAATGGAGGGAATGATGTCGGAGTGCAGTTGTTATGCAATCTAGTTATAACGTCCACCCGTTAATTATGCGAATGCGATATCCTTTTTTACAAGGACTCTTCAAACTTATGAACAGAGACTGCTATGCAGACAGGTGTGACGACCAAATATCATTTTTTCCCTTTCAGCTAGAAATCCGAGCCATCGCTGCTTTATTACGAAGGGAGAAGCAATTCAGGATAATTACACAATTGAATTACGTGACAGTGGTCACGGTGTATTACAGTGTGTACTGTTATCGCCGGTTACACTAAATAGAATCCTGTAGTTTGGTTTTGAAATGTTTATACAGGTTTGAATAGCGTAAGCTGTCAGAACTCAAATATGAAATAACAGAAGCCAAATTTTTAAAAAAAGAGCTTGCAAGCGCTAATCAAATTATGTTATTCGATACGTTGTTGTTGACGTCTTTCATCACGAGATATTAAAATTTGTTAAATTTTGGCCTTTTAAAATGTTTAAGGTATTAATCGATGTGGTCTTAAAGCTCTGTCTACTATATTTCTACTATATTTTCTACTTAAAATGGTTAAAATCTAAGATTTATCGAGCTACTCATATAAAACGGTCGGAGTTTGCTCAATGAACTAATTTGCATAATCGGCTGTCACGCTAGCAATACCGCTAAAAGTTTGAAGTCACCTCTGCGAAGAAAATCAATAAGTGCAAGATGTTTTTATATTTTTCTGCAGCCAAACATCTTATTAGCACAAATCAAGCGGAGTTTTTAATGGTCTGGTCTGGACTTGAGCAATATCAACCAAGAAAGAAAGAGTACTTTTAACCAATTTCAGAGAGCTGTCCAACGAGTGTTTTTAAATAAATTATGACGAGCCTCTGAATAAACGAATATCAAAATTGAAATGCATTTTATACACCTTATATATCACACACTTTAAGAATACAAAATGTTTTTTGCTGCATGCGGTGTGATACGAGGACCGGGCTATTCAACTTTTAAAATTTTCGATATCGCAAGAGGTCAAAAAAGGGCCTTTTGCAGCTTTGACTTTTGAGAGCTCTAAAAATTTTATTTTAACGTATTTCCAGAAACTAATGTGGTGTTATATACTTGTTACCAAAGATAGTTTATTGGGCCAAGTTTGAGGGAAAACTTTTTTCCTATGCGAAATGCCGTGGACCGCTCTTACAGAGATCGCCTCTTAAAACACAGATTAGTAAAAATGGTCAGAAAAAGGAAAGATCAACACGGATTGAATGCGGATTGAATCAAAAGCTTGATACAGTTTGGGATAAGTCTTGAAGATGAATGCGCACAAACCGTGAAGAGACAACACCCGGATTACTCCTAATTAACGCCACGACGGACTAACGCTCGTCTTCGAAAACGTTTCTGATATCTCTAGAAAAATGCCTGCCTCGTTGCTACCATTATTTATTTGGTGAAATGTGTGGTTAGAATCTACGTAACAAAAGGGTTTCCTGTCATTACCTTCGGAAGTGGTTTGAAGTACTTATGAAATATTATCTAACTTAACGATCGCATATTTCGCTCCTATTTGCTTGATTAACATTATTCGATGCCAAAGTAGAGGACAGGATAATTTTGTAGAGAAGATAGCCTAAGTCAGTTGTTTCCAAATATATTTTTTTGGGCTTAAACTAAAAAGGTGTGCTTTTAGTCAATGCATTCCGCATCATCGATCACGCATACGGTTAAGTAATACAATTATTATAATTGTGTTTTAGTGCAGTAATTGTGTTTTAGTGCAGTAACTCAAACGTGTATGTGTAACCGCATGTAATTTCGTCTGAAATAGCTAAGAGAAGCCTTTAATGAAAAGATGACTAAACACCACTCTCATAGAGGAAAAAAATGTAATCCAACAACTTAAAGACGTTGCTTCTCCCCAAAATTGTTGAGGTCATACAAAAACGTGACCTCCACGCGATCATGGACTTCGACCAATTCACGAGAGCTTTCGCAAAGCTAGAGGTGAAATGCCGTGATATCATCAGTGGGCTTGATATTAAAAAGAATATAAGCCCAAAACCTTTCAGTTATGTCCAGTTTCAACTGTAAAATCGGCCTAGGTTTTTCGGCGTTGTCAATACATCATAATTTCATTACTATATTTGCACTAAGGAATATCTTGTTTCTTACACTTCATGAAACTAAAAGCGTATAATAGGAAACTGATCCTACCTCAAAAACCAAAGATTTACTCCTTGTGTGACGAATGAAAACTGCGAGTGGACTAAACTAAGCGTTGTTGACTGTCCGATGTTTGCACAGGCGAGTCACGTACATGAATATTTAAAAACATTTCTCAAGAGCCTTAGTCTATTTATTTGTCTACTCATTACGTCACTGAGCCATGTAACAAAACATTTACGCACGTTTATGGTTTCGTTGCATTCTAGGTGCGAGCGCAATTACTTTTCGCATTTAATTGCTCTACCGCATACCTTCCCGAAATCGTCGTTGCCTGAGGGAATTGCTGAGTAACTGACTAGATAAATGCGATGATCTCCGCCAAAGCTAGTGTGGATGTGCCCTATAGTATGAGATGTGTCACTCATGTCGAATGGAGAATTTAAACTCAAGTGCATGCTTTCGCGTCCACTGGTCCGCAGGCTCATCCGCTGAGACCACGAACGACTTCAATGCAGTTGATCAATATCGACAATAAATGATTCGAAACACAACTGAACATTATACAAATCACACTAAGGGTAGGAAACACTGATGTACTCGTGCCAAAGAAATTTCATGCTGAATGTCTTGTGATTTTTGTGAAAATATTCCACCTTCTGCCGAATTTACATGATCATGTGAAATTTGGAAACGATATGTGAAGAAGAATATTAAAAAGCAACACTTCTTTTTGTTACATATCGATCTATATTGATCTCACTGATTTACCCGACACCTTGTAAAGAAATATAAATTACTGTGAGTTCTTTATAATATTGTCATTTTGTGTTGTTCGTGGATCGCACTGGTTTTTTACTAGGTGATATAACTATTGTTGTTTTCTTTATATAAGCAAATGCTTTAATGGGTCGCCCATGCTAATTGACCCATAAACAAACAAATTGTGATCGTAAAAGCAAAGCTATCATTCCTTTGAGACCCTATAATACCCAGAGAAATCCTGCTTGTGAATAGTGCAGAATAATTGAAATTTTGTTAGGACCACCCCAAGGGTTTTTTTGGGCCCGGTTCAGACGGCGTACTTCAGCCGCGCCGAATCAAATTCAACGATAGGCCAACCTAAATTAGTTAATCCAGGCTGAATTGATTCAAACGCCGAACTTTACTCGGTCGAAATTAACTAATCGAAGAAAATTAAAATTCGGTCATTGGTTTAGCATACAATTGTAAACATGGCGGACGACATGGATTCCGGCAGCAATCTGCGAGCAAGAGTCTTTCTTCTGCTCAAAATGATGGGAAACAGTGCTGAAAGAAGAAGAATGCAAACTGTCTTAAAGGCGACGCTTTTTCCAGCGACCCATCCATGGTAATCTTCGTCTTCTTCAAAAATTGAACATTTATTACAAATTGGGATTCTACATTTCAAGCAAGTATATTTGGTCGTGCCGAAACACGAACAACAAATGTCACCATCGTGCAGTTTGGCCCGCCAAGCCGCCATTTTCCTCCTGCAAAACACTGCTATGCGCATGCTCTTGAGTAAAAAATAAAACCATTAAAATAATGTATGCATTTGGTTCGGTTCAGTTGAAGTATGGCGTCTGAATCAAAGCCGGTCTACAGCCGTTCTTCTCGGCTGAGGCAGGCGGAATTAATTGATTAAGCCGATCTAAATTAAATCAGCCTTTCCGAGTTGATTCAGACGCCGTACTTCACATGAACTTAATTCGTTGTATTTGATTCGGCTCGGCTGAAGTACGGCGTCTGAACTGGACCTTAACCCCTTTATCAACATATAAACCGACCAATCAAATCTTCTTGGAAGCCGCCCAATAGTCATCTACTTGTTTGCCGTCTACCATCTTCTTCTCAGTCTTCACTCCTTAAAAATAGAAAATTGATGGACAGGTACACAGGGACTCCACCTCATCAACAGGACAAACTGTAGTGACTACCTCAAAAGCACAAAGAAAGACTGCCCGGTCAATCCAATTAATTGCAACACATAAGTAAACTTTCAACTGACGACATCAGGCAAAGCCTAACGCATTTCGGGATCAAGAAAAACTAAAGTTTGCATAGTAACAGACTGATAGTGACATTTATCGATCAGATAAATGGCAAAATGTGCGACGCTTGTACGCGAGTAAAAAATGGATATTTATTTAAACAAAGGGGTATTTAAAATATATTAAAGTTCACACGGCAACCAGGTGGACAATCAGACATAGTT